ATATATATTATCCAACAGGTTGACAGGGAACAGGTAGTTTGGATGACTATGCCGACTGTTTGGCAGTGGATGATAGAAATATATTGTGCGCTTAACTAGTCCAATTCGTAATAGGCGGATAAATTACGTGGATAATCGCTGGTTGAGGGCAACTACTCGTCCGCAAGTTACGGATGAGATAAATCGTGGAGGGTGGGTGCGAGACAAAAGAGTGAGTCATAAGTACCCATAGTGCTTTGTTAGTACACATCGGACTTACGACTACTCCTGAATTGAGAATATCAACAAGTGGCGGGAAACTAATGCAATGATAAGAAGGCTCACGTGTTCGAAATCAGTATGCCTGTATCAGACGTCCGCGCGGGGAGTGTCTCTGTCATGTGGGAACAGTCCGGCTGTATTTTCATACTTTTATTCTGAGTGATACGATGTACAGACGCATGAGGCAATACTGGAAGCAACTCGCCGTTGGTTGAGGTACAACAAGATATCACCTCTATATCTGAACCAGTTGTGGTTGTTTCAATGTCATCTTCGGCAGAAACTCCACGGCGATTTGAAGGTTGGCTGTCCAAAGATAGAAGATTCTTACACGACAAATCACTCTCAGAACAACTTTTATGCAGTTGTGGCAAGTCTTGAGATGTCACTGACAGAGTTTCAATCGAGGATCCGACCGGTGAAAAGCGACCCACCTTGATGGTGCTCGGGGATGGAAGATTTGGTGGAGTTGTGCTTCCCACCTGTGTTGGTTGAGTTTCATCAACTGATGGCTTTAAACGCGAAAAAAGGATAAATATCAACTCCAGAAAATAAGGAATATGCTCCATTTCGAGAAATATCGACCAAATGGAAGCCTTCATGAAACGTGCGGTCACGAAAAGTAGACGGTTTTACGAGCTGTGACACTGCAACAAGGATTGTCTACCTAAACATCAGCATTGAAGTTCACGAGGTGTTTAAAATGGTATTACAAGAGGGGTACAATGGGCGGTTTAGTCTGCAGAGCTAACAAGTTCACGTGATTTGTTCTCCCAATCGTTTATAATTAGATCAAGAAGTCTCGCGACGTGGGAATTCGGAAATCCTTTACAATCCCCGATTACGACCTGAAATCTTAGGGGAGAGCATCGAGGACTTGACACATCCTTAAATTTAGGAAGTTTGAATACGTCCTTATAGCACCATAGGAACCGCAGTCCTCTCTTACTCAAATTGCTATCCAAGGCAAAAAGAAACGAGACCAGAGGATATCGCTGGAAACTGAAACGTCTATCGTGGAAGCAAACCGTTAAGCACCATGTTTAGAATTATGTAGAATGTTGCATGGCACTGAGAAACTTGTGTAAACTGCATTCACACAGGTCACTTCTGACCATTCCCCCTGTTCTGCGGGGATTACCCCGGTGAGTTCAGAATTGCGATTGCCACATTCGATGCGAGCATCTTCTTTACAATATACACTACTAGTGACTCATCTAGTTGGCGATCAACCCTATCCAGATAGAGGATTTTCCCCCAACCCTAAGCAGAGCAGATGAGCCTTTGTTTGGCAAACAGCTCTATGACACTTGAGGGAGTAAAGGCATTCGCGTATTTTCGAAGCTTTCGAGAATTCCACGTCCACTTCCAAAGATTTTTCATTGACTGATTACAAATAAACAGTTGAATTATTGTTGAAAGTGTTCAATTCCGCGACTCAGGCTGAGGCAGCATTCAGTAATAGAAACTGAGCCCAGCGTACACACAAGGATGGTCTGCTGTGCAGTCTCTTCCAGAGTGCGAACATTAAGGGATTCCATTCAGGTCGGGTTTGATGAGTGATTTCGGAGTGTTTATCTTCGTGGTGATCGAGCTGACCGTAGCTACCACCAATGAGCCGTAAAAGTATCGGTAGGTCATTAACAATGGGCCTACAGGAATATCGCTGGCAACCGGATAAGGTTGTGGGTGGGAGAAGAGCGGATATGTGAAAGAGCAAGAAGAAAGGCTTCAGCAGCGGCCTGATTTTGCTTACTTACCTCCGGTTGCTGTGTCCAACAAGTAAGGCAACCTTGCAGATAGCACCAGGTGACGGCCGATTGGCATTCCGTCTGTAATTGTGCAATTCATGGTTGCACGTGGGTTGGGATACAGCCAGATAACCCAGGCCTAGACAGGAGGACCACTAGTCTTCCTAACCAATGCCAAGCCTGACCACAAAGTAGCGGTGGTTGGTGTAATACCACCCGAGTAGTTTACATTTTAAAGGAGCAGGTCAACCTGAAAGACCACGAGATTATGTTCTCAGAACCCATTGACGAGCCGGGTATGAGAGGCCCCATCAAAGTCACATGCGTACTCCCGAGTATCGCTTAGTGGGTTATGGAAGTGCACAAAACGTCACACTGCAGTGAAGGGTCGAGGGCAGTTTTTCCAGATGGATGAAGTTCCTGGGGCAAATTCGTGGTTGTTGCTGCGCCGTAGTGGCAACCAAAAGTTGAGGTTCGATTTTCGAATGCTTCACGTATCTGCTCTGTCCTTCGTCCGACCGGGATGAATAGAGTCCTGAATATTATTAGGTAACTTGAACGACCAACCCAGACTTTAGGCCAGGGGCATCATGGTACTGACGGATGAATGATTCTACTTTTCATTTGCACTAAGTCTTCTTCGATCCACCGTAAATCCCTCATCATGCGTATCATCTTTTCGCATGAAAATGTACTTCTCAAACTCTTTGTGGACCACCCAGTGCCTTAAACGAACGAAATCTTGATCTTCGATGAAGCCAGAAAGAGAAGCAAAATTTCAGGCAAAACTGGAATACATTCTTGGGTGTTGTCTTACAGACAGTTCAACTACGATGTGAGCTTCGGGCCACCTAAAACCATAAAAAAACTTATGCTCAGCACTTACATCCCAATATGAAAGATCACCAGATTATCAAGTAGTTGGTGGGCTACCATTAGTGATTCCGATCCACTGTACGTTTTGCGGTCGCATACTCGGAGTAACTTGCGCGCTAGCAGTAATTTAGACAAGAGAATTCAAGTAACCAGAAAAACATCAATCACAGCAGAACGACACTGGTCGGCTTGCTAAGAAACGCTATGAAAACAAGCAATTCTCCCGATTTTTATTCGTTAGAAAAACTCAAGAATCGGCCCGCACCCATCAAGAGAAAATAAGACCATTTGGAAAAACTTTATGAAACTCGCCACCTTATGATAGAATGATATGCAATGACCAACATATCACCAACAGAGGCCAGTCCAGGAGAGGCCGTTTGATCACTTCCCTACGGTGGCCTTTTCGAGGGGTAATCGTAATTTAGTAATGCAATGCATTTACACAAAGACATACCTCCCGTGTTGGAATCCCGCCAACAGTTAATTCTTCCTGCTGTTTTAGCGCGTATGCAACTTCAGACGAACTCGTTTCTACAGGAACCAGCTCATCCAACTGATGATCTACACAGATACGAAACAGCAAGGATGATTAGAGTGTAAGATAAAACGGAACTAAGTAAACAGCATAAGTTCCGACTGGGCAGGTGTTCTGCCGACTTCGCCATCTAGTTAGGTCGTTCCGACAAAGAAAAAGAGCTGATGACACTACAATGAAGTCACGGGAGGGGCGAAGTATAAAGTTTGATGAAAGTAAGTGATGATATTGTGCATTATTGGGAAAACAAGCAGAGGACTAGTTGGTCCAACTGCAGCTGAATCAAACTGCGGACGAGGTGGATAGATTTCGGGAAGACATAAGTGATGATATTGTGCATTATTGGAAAAACAAGCAGAGGACTGGTTGGTCCAACTGCAGCTGAATCAAACCGCGGACGAGGTGGATAGATTTCGGGAAGACGGATAGGACAGATAAAAAAGAACAGTGAAAACCGAGCCAGCACTGATATCCGAGGGGAACAGTGTACAAGGAAAATGGTATATCATAAAAGTGAGAAAGCTATCTACACTGATCGCCAAAGAGGCAACTCTGAGTGTGTAATTTCTTGTTATTTTCGCCTGGTGGCTACCGAGTGGAGCCTACAGATGACTCACTATGGGACTGAGGCAAAACGAGTTATGATCCGGCCCAGCAAACAAGAAGCGTCCTTTTAGTAGAGGCATTTTCCTCCAGTGTGGTGTACAGCGACCGTAACATGTGCCTCGTGTTTTGACTTTATGAAGTTTGGCTCATACGGGAAGCTGTGCAAAACCTCTTTCAAAAAATCAGGATGGGTGTGCGTGGGTCCCATGAACAGTTCGGCTAGTTGATTGGGAACTCGGTAAGACAGATGTATGTTTTAATGAATGGCGTACGATATAAGTGGCGAAAGCAGAGCTTGGATAACTGAACTCGAGGTACACATATCTGATCAAACGATCATTGACAGTGATCAAAGAAAAAGTAGTTGAAAACCCGTAGTTCGCTCAAGAAAACTTGGTTAAAGTGTAGCTGGATTTTTTCGGGGTTTATAGTTTGAAGGTATGGCTCGGATATGGAAAATATTAGGCACGAAGACGTCCAAACGTCCACTGTAGGGCTACTAATGAGTCTAGTACCCAAATCGCTAAACAGAGGTGGAAACCGATTTAACCTAATGGTTTGGAACCACAGCCTCACTTCCAAAAGGCACTTCATATCCCGAAGAAACAAGGTATAAGGTGAACGCATTCAACAAAAACGGAAATAGTTTCCATAAAACAATGGTTACCAACAAGAGTAACCAGAGTCACAGGTCAAACCGCAACTACGGAAGAGTTGAGTAAGTGTAAAAACCATAAAACAACAGATTTTGTGTTAGCAAAAACGCTGCAAAACTATTGAATAGTGGTTCTTACCATCAGAATCCTTGCCTCTGTTCAAGGGATCCACAGGTATCTGCTTTTCTTCAGAATCTTTGAAAAGCACGACCGTACCATCACACGGAGATATGACATCAGAGGGTTTGAAAGATTTCCATGGGGAATGTTGTTGTTCCTCCGTCTCCTGGATGTCTAGAACAGCATCGATCTTTTGTTGTGCATTCTTCAGGGCAGAATAGGCTAGTTTTGATATGTTTCCAGCTTTCTCCAATGAGTTCCACCAGTCCATCCATACAGCTGCAAAATTAGATGGTATGTGTGGAAATACTGGAGTTTCCAAAAATGGAATACCAAACTTTGGTCAGAACAACAAAGTTACGTAGGCGTTATATGCTCATGAGCTTGCTTAAATTTGTCCACACTATGAGATGAACTACACTGGCATTTCGTCACTTTGATGCATCTGGGATGAATATTATAGGATACTACTTGGTAGTTGGTATGCGAGACAAGCATATGTGACTGCAAATTGTCAGTTCACTGCAGAATTCGGGTTCGCAAAACATGGACACAGGGAAAGCTAATAGTTGGGTGATGAGCTATCCGATAGATTCATCGACGACTGCCAACGGAAATCGCTGTTCTGATAGATAACCTGTCAGTTGGAGTCTTCCTAATCGACGACTTCACAGATGCCATAGAGCAGGCATTAAGTGGGATGCGGGAATGGCAAGACTTATGGCGGTTGTTGTGCACTTACGATTTAGCTCCTCCGACTCTCGCTCGCGCCTAACGCCAAGATCGCCCTTAAAGTTCCGACCAATCATGTGCGTCAAGCAGTGATCAGCTACAGCGCACAGCTTCAAAAGGTGAATTAGACTATTACATAGCTGATGACTCGAAAACCTCAAAGACACAAGACTACGAACAGCAGCTGGATTCGATAAATTGGGTGAATATGAGCAAGTTAGTTCAGCCACTTGGATAGCGGTGCAGGCAAAGGTAAGTCATGGCTGTACACATCCCTCCACCTGTTCCTACATGGTTCCTGTCCACCTTGTGAGACCTCGCAGTGTCAGACCATGATTCTACTCGCTTCGTCTCAAAAGACAGTTTCAATCCATCTGCTGCTGATGCATCACGCAACACTACAGAGAAAAGGCATCCCATTCTGAATCCGCGTTCAAATTGCTGACAGTGGGCTACCCATTGGTCGGTAAACCGGAAACGGACTTCACATTTCTATTGGACACATAAAACCCCCCTCTTACCGTCTCTTTCCTAAGACCAGTTGCGATCCTGCTTGAGGGTTTCGGAAAGTGAAGTTGGCCTAAGCAACTCAGTCCAACCATTCGCCATCTGGATGAACGGTGGTTGATGCGCACGCACGACCTCGTGTCGAACATCACCGTCGTTAGCTACACACCAGGCTGAAAGTAAAAAACGGCCATAGTTTTCCCGATATTCCCACTCCTACATGCACACACAGATCGTTCACGAATAGGTATGCACATAGGAATGGACTACAGATTTTCAAGGGTTATTTAGGTTAGCTTATTGGCTCACTGAATGTCTTTTATGATCCTATCATACCCAGAGGTTACTACTATTAAATCCAGGGCTTTGGAACATCACGTGCTTTAATCCGTTGTCCCAACTCAGCTCATTGTGCAGCAGTGAAATTTTCCGTTTGAGGACATTTCGCAGCTAGACTTCTACTTGGTTATGAATATACCACGCTGTATTAATCTGCATTGCCGAGCTTTAAAACCAAATCAAGTGAACCTTCGCGCAATGCTACGAGTTGGGCCCGTATATTTCGATACTTTGCCTACAACCATTGCTGGGTCGACCCGAAGGGGCATAACTGCTCTAATAACACATATTGATCGCTACCTCCCCAAGATCTTTCGCGGGCAGTCATTAAATGTAGCGTGCGTAGTGGTCGAGACACTATGGTAGATAAATAGCCGGTGAACTTATTCTTATCGGTCTATTTTTGCAGCAGTTCAAGTTCTCGAACAGATGATGGAGAAATGGGCTTAACAGTTGTCTGCGTTTTACACTACATCAGATCGGTTTGTATCAAGCTACGATGTGACCTTAGATGGTAAACGGCGACCGGGCAGAAAGAAGACCAGCTGAACAAATACGAACTGTCTGGTCTGGTAAAGTCCCGGAAGTTCCGCAAAGGAATGGCTTAGTAAGGCAGAGGAGAAGCATGTTGTCCACTGTAGGGAATCACAGTCAAACGGATGCGGCTTACGCCTACATTTTTGAACAGTATTTCCAAATAACTGGTACCATTTTTAACAAACGGGGATGGATACGAATGGCAAACATCCTTGACAGTTAAGAGGGTATTATTAAAAGAAAACGAAATACAGCTGCTACGAAAATAAAGAAAAATATGCCATGTCAAAGTGTTAGAGCTCGACAGCTTCGGAAATGCGCCAATACCTTTACTCCCTCAAGCGTCGCAGAGTTGTTTCTCCTGACGAAGGCCCATCCGTTGTTTGAGGATGGAGACCAACCTTTGGTTGGCGCTGTTATAAATGATGTCTCTCTCTGGATGATGAATGACGATGATGGACGAAAAGCCGCCCGCACTGATAGTGGTGATTATAGTAGAACTGAACTGAGCTCTGTTGTAACGGGACTATTTGGGCCGCTGATTTAACGTTGGCTCATGAGGGCCGAGAAGGTGGAATGAGAGAACATTATGCAGGATTCCGACCGAGATATAGCTAAGTGGACAACAACTCCACATTAAGTCAGGTGTTAGGGAAACTGCATGCATACAGGCGCCCTACGATATTGATGTTATTTAACTTCAAGTGTGCATTCAATATTCCCGACCGGTGAATTCTTTTTAACGCGTTTTTGCAGCAGAGCATGTCCTAGGAGTTATCATCATCTGTAAAAATCGTGTACTTGTTGTACAGTGGTTATAGCCGCCACAGATTCATTCGCCGACAATTTGGGGAGGTTGGGTAAATAGCTGTGTTGGAGGTAGCAGTGAATATAAGTGATGTGTAAATACAGCGGCGCCATGGAAATTTTCATTAAAGGGATCGGGAGGGGAGCTAGGCAGCGCAGGAAACAGCTCGGGTGCAAGAACGCTATTGGTAGCGTGACCGGACCATGTCTGACAATGTCTCTAACATTGATGTGTCCCATTAAAGAAGGCGGTAATGACCAGCGAAGCTGAGTTCGCTGGTAATTGCTTTTATGGTTCGCTGCCAAGTCATTGTTTGACCTTCATTGGTCCACTTCCACCCTTTGTGTGGTCGTGCGAAAAGGGCCCTTCAAAGATGTCTGTCAGCTGGCATACGGAGCACCTGACCAAGCCAGCGCACATTATAAAGTGTGATCAGCCCATCTATTGTGGGCGAGTTAGTCCTTCCGAAAACAATCCGACGTACTCCAGTATTACTGATCCAATGTTCTTACCAGACTCAGGCAACCATCCGGACATAGATAGTCAACCACTGAAATTTCTTGACGTCTTCAACCGGAATTATCTGGACTACTTGACATGGTTTACACTACAATGGCGTGAGAACCAAGAGTAAATATTTTCTCTGCGTACCCGATATCCATGAGCGAGCGCCCTGGAAGCACTTTTGACCCCACAGGCAATAGAGGTTGGCAGTGAGTCTTCCATGATCATATCAACGACGGAGTTTAGGAGGAAAGGTGTACGCGGACGGCCTCGCCTGACGCCACGTGATGTAGGGAGCTCAGGTGGGAGCCTCCCGTAATCCTTCACACGTCCGCGGGAGTTGGCATACAATGCTTTAAGGAGGACCAAGAATTTATGCGGGGAATCTTTGCTCCATGGTCACCGCCATATTGTTCAACGGTCCACGTAGTCAAACGCAGACGAACACCGTTGGTTGCTAGAAGCATAGTCGCTGTTTCAGAATCTGTAGGTTTAAACTGTGAACGATGCATTGACTTGTACCATGGATCCCAGTTTGTTTTTCACCGATCTATGTCTCCCTGTGTTCAGCCAAACTCTGAAGGATAAGACCAGAGAGTCCGTTTGATGCCACAGCTACCAGATTGGTGCCACGGTGGTTTTCGCACACCATCCGCGTCCACCTTTTGAAGATAGGATGTGCCGCAGTCCGAAGACACTTTCTCTTCACAACATGTCGCACTAATGAACTTTGTTAGATGGTTCACCAGGGATTCCGCGCCCTCTTTGAAGAGAGCTAGATAAGACCGTCCGGTTCTTCTCACGTTTCAGTAGAGACATTTTCCATTTTTTATTTCCCCAGAAATTCGGTCGAGGTTTACATTTTATTCACTCGAATGAGTCATATCTAGAGGCTGTTGCAGGGGGTCGGCTAAAATACTCTTCGAAAAGCTCGGCCTATCTTTCTAGTCGGCATCTTTGCGAATCAATTAATGAGCCACCTACTTCAATTACCTTTTCACTGACCGTTGCTTTCCTAGATCCAGTCAATCATTTCAGTTGGCATATGACATGGCTATTTCTGGTAGCAAAAGCCTGCTCCATCTCCCGGGTGTTCGATGTCCACCAGAGTTCTCGGTCCTTGCTTAGGCTCTTCATTATTTGACGTCGCACTTGTTGCCTGCTGGTATGGATTTCCTAGCATCAATCAGGACTAGCGATCCCGACGACATCCAATGGTAAGATCGCATCGGAAAAGCCGAACAGACAGCAGTGATTACCGCTAGCACAGTTCCTTTCGCATTTTGCCATCAACGTGCTCGTTACCAGTAGTGTCGGTTTACATTGGGGAATAGTCGAGTTAGCTCACATCGATACACCCGAGCCATGGTAGTTCTCCGCAGATAGCGGTCAGGCGTGTTTCTTAGTGACTTGCGAGCGCCTGAATGAAAGCCAACTGTCAGTCGTGCTCGCACCCTGGCGTGACCAGAGTCAAGTTGTACGCTTTAGAAGGGAAGATAGACTTGGATTGTGGTTTTCCACCAGTGGCTGACTACCATGTTTTCCAACTGAGACAACCGTTGATTTGCACGCAGTGGCCATCAGAATAGGCGACGGGAACGTCTATGCTGGAAAACCGCACTGGCCAGAAATAGTGGACCAGCGTACAACCAAATGAGTCGCTTTCCGTTGTCTTCATGACGAGGATCGACTGCGCAGATGTGGTTCCAAAGAACTCGTTTCATGCTTAGGGATGAGAACAGACCAACAAATTCGAATGCACATTGGGAATCCTGGGATAGCAAAATTGTGTATCGCACTTACGTTGTTCAGCTGTAACACTCTTTCGGTGCCTAATTGCCATATCGCCAGAAGGAAGCACGAGGGCTGGGATACAGCCAGGTTGCCCAAGCCTAGACGGGAGGAGTCAACAGGCAGAGTTCGAGTTCGAACTACGGACCTTCCAGTCAGCATATTCGTGCTCTAATCCCCGGAGCCACTCCCCCTATAGCCCATACATGAAGACGTGTCAACGTAAACCCTGCCAGGCTGGTATCTCACCTTTAGTTCCGGAATCAACGCAACACAGACCGCTTTAATGTGGTGAAAGACGGGGGATTTCAAGTGCATCTTTACTACTGTTGTCAAGCTGCGTCTGTCATTGCCACATTTACTGCTGTACACTTATATGGAACCCGGCACCGGTGGACATTGTTCCCAGTTGTCCGCAATATGTTTCTTTTCCAAAGCAGAGGCCAATGAATCAGACAAACGCTGATTGGGATGCTCCTCCCCATCTTTGAACATTGCCGGGGGGATGACTTAAATTAATTGGACTGGGAGATCGGGGCACACGGAAGAAAATCCGCAGAAACAAGTCTCCGAGTCCAAAGGAAGTGCCAG